CCGTGGTTTATTGTGTTTTTTGGTTTTTTTTTTTTGGGGGGGGGGGGGGGTGTGAAATCTGGGAATCGGCATCAACCTCAAGAAAATCCATACGAGTCAGGCCCAAGTAGTTGACCGCACCATAGCAGTCCAATATGTTACATACTCGCCTCATACACACTCGCCCGACAGGACCACTACTCAAAAAGACTGAATGTCGGACACTGTTCTAGCTCAAATTATAGGATGCTGGGCGGACCCTGTACCATTCGCCGCTGCCATCTAGTGGCAGGATATATGAAGCTCACTCATACTTCAAATTTGGTCTCACAACTTTCAGAAATGAACAATGGCGGGTAACTCGGAATGCTCCAAGGTACTGAGCGTCCATTTAGATTTGATGTAACTCACCGCTCAAAAAGTTCCCTGGTTTCACCCAGTTGTCTCTCCAACGCATTGATTTCCTCCTGACCCTGATCCCTCGCTTCACCTCGTCTTTGCGCCTGTTCCTCCATGAGAGCCAGCTCTCCCAGCACCTCCTCCAGCTCCTCATTCATCTTACTCCGGTGCTCCTCTGACTCCTGCCTCTCTTGCTCTAGCAGCACAGTAAGAGAGTCTACCAGAGCCTGGGCGCGTTCAAACAGAAAAAAAAATGGGCTTTAAGAAATGCCTTCATCACATCACTAAAACAGGGGAGGAATTTCAAAAAGGGTAAGGAAATTCCATGCAAATAACTCCAGCGACTGACCCTTTCTTTCGCCAGTTCCTCAACGAGAGAAGCATGCTCGTGGTGGAGCTGAATCCGTCTGTCTTTCTCATCTTGGTTTTTGTCCTTCAGCTGTTTGAGCTCTGTGGTCAACTCCTCCAGTTTCCTGAAGCCCTCCTCTTGAATTTTGAAAAGCAACAACAACATCAACAACACTTTGTTGAATTTTGTTCTGGTTGTTTACGATTGATATCGGTGGGTGAGCATACATACGTTTCTCCTCTGCCGAAAGCAGACACTTCTGTTCAAGATGTGCCACATCTTCAAGCATCTTCCTCTCCGTCCTTTGGAGTACCTCCCGTAGCATTCCCAGTTCGACCTCCTGCTGACCAACCGTTGCTTGAGAGTCGTGGATTTGTTGGTTGATGAAGTTCAATTGTGTCTCCAAGTCACTCACCGTCTTTTGGGAGGCCTTAAGCTCTTCCTTCAACTTCCTCTCCACTTCTGATAAAGCCTCCTTTGAGGCCTGCATCTCGTGCTCATGTTTCAGCATGTCGTCCTCTTTTTGCCTCAGAGCAACTTCAGTGCTTTCAAGCTTTGCGTGGCACTGCTCAAGCTCCTCCTCGAGGTGTCTGCAGAACATGCAACAGATATCTGTGATCTTTTCTTGAATTGAAATCTGACACCCTTTAAGGGAACTATTATGCATTTACTCACTTCATGTTCTGCAGCTCGGAGTTACAGACGATGACTTGCTGTGTTGTCTCTTTAAGCTTTAAGCGGAGATCCTACGAAAGTGAATCTGTGAATGAATGCCTGCGATGGATCCAATTGCAAATTTTCACTTTCATGCCCACCTGATTCTGATCATTGGATGCATCCATATATCCCTGAACAACTTTGATTTCCATTTGTAGCTCCCGTATCTCAGCTGGAAAAATAATAAGAATAATATTGCAAGTTGGGCAAGAGGTCTGTTCAATTAAATGTGGTCCATGAAAGGAGCTTGATTAAAAATGCATTGCAATAGAGCTCAGTTTTCATTTGTTTTTAAAGGCATTCATTTCACAAAATATACAATCAACCCTGGCTATTCAAGGGGTTACGGACCGGACCGGCTCACAAATAGCAAACATCCGCGTATAAATGACGACCATGACTTCACTGGGCATTTTCAACCCAAAACTGGATTTACCGTATTAATAGAAATAAAGGCAATACAAAGCAAGTGTAAGAAAACTGTTCAGTTATTGCAGTGTAATTATACCAAACTAAAACATATTGGCAAATAAAGGAAAAAAATAGGAGAGGGATTATCCTAAAGGCAAAAAATGCATAATTACTTATATAAATTTGAGACAATACGCCATACCAGTGTGTTCAAGTTCCTGCAGCAAATTGCAAAAATGTCATCTGATTTTCAACTTGGTTGCTCCTAAAAAGAACCACAATCCCTTCATCTCTGCCACTTCCTGCTGTCTCCTGCCATCCCTTCAGTGGCACTGTCTCCAAGCAGTACCACCATGGCTGGCCTCCCCACTGCCTTATAAACATTGCCCTTCACTACATTACATTGGGGATCAACTCACCATGTAACCTGTCATTCTGTTGTTGCAACTCCTCATTTTGTTTTTTCATCACTTGATGGAGGTCCTCTGTGAAAGACAACATTAACGTTGAATTAACATACCTGGCATTTGAGTACAAAACAAGGTGAACGGTTGCTGTTCATCCTTACCCAAGTCTCTATTCCTGTCTGTTAAAGCTTTAACAATGTCCTTACTCGCTCTGAGATCTGTTTCGAGCACCTTGAGGTGACCTTCGGAGCTGAGCTGTAGAACACTGAGCTCCTGCACTCAGACATATTCGGTATACATCTGAATAATTGGCTCACAAATGAAACTATGATCATCATCTTATCTCATGGAACATTTTACTGTGTTTATAGTAATAAAGAATGGTAATAAAAACTGTTGTAATGAGGGAGGTGGGTGTACCAAATGCATACCTTGTTTTTGCCGTCCAATTTGTTCCTGGCTTCCATCAGCTCCATTGTAAGTGAATTGATCCTCTTTTTTGTTGTGTCAGCTGAAACCTGGGAGGAAACACACACTCACTAATTGAGCTGTAAAATATATTGAAAACATCAGCTAGCTCCAGAATACAATTAGCCTGCTTATTTTGCCAGGTGAAACAATATGTTTCTTTCATTAGATAGAAAAAATGTAATTTTTTTAAAGACATGTCAGGGCTCTATGCTAACTTTGACGCTGGTAGCACTGGTGCGACCAACATTTTGGGAGCGGTACAGCATGACCATATTTCCTGATATATAGTCATCTCAAGTGGTATTCTGTAGTTTCATATGATGTAAAGATTGACAATGACTTAAGATATATTTGAAAAATACTTTATTGGAACAACAACTTTATATGCAACAAGCTGCGGCTGGCAAAACAGGTCAGGAATTGTATCTGACTTTAAAAAAAGACACACACACGGGCAAAGGAAGAATACAACAAACCTTGTTTTTTAAGAATTCATTGACTTTCTTGAGTTCAGCTTTCTGTCTTTCAAGGGTGGTGATGTTAGCAGTGAGACCGGTCTTCTCCCTGACTGCCGCCAACAACTTGGCCTCCACTTTTTTTAAGTCCTCCTCAAGGGAGAACAACCGTCGATCCTGTTCCCCTCTCTGCTGGACCAGTAAGCGGATCTACAAGGAGAAAAAACAAAAATCAATATTGCGCCATATAAGTCTATTATTTTTATAGCAGTTGCTGGTTCTGAATTCTGGTTGTTATAGCATTGCCCAAATTTTGTTTTAAAAAGGTGCACCTCTTTCTCCAATAATCGATGTTGTTTCATTTCCAAGGTCATGCAATGTTCTCTCTTTTTTGTACTTGACGCCTCAACCTGTAAGATAAATTTAAAATGGCAAGGAAATTGTATGGACCCAAATCAATCGAAAAATAATAGTTTGTTAATACAACAATATTGTAATGTCAACTGTCATTTACCATTCCATCAACTGACAGTGTTCTTCTGACTGGAGACATCATTGCACTTCTGGAAGGTGATGATGGGGGCACTGAACACACAAATGAAGAAAACAACTACGTTACACACGATTTCATGAGGTCAGTGTCGTAATATGTCTATCAGATTGACATGTTACCAACCTGCCTTTGCATCTTTGAATCGATCCGATTTCTCAAAGGATGCAGGCCCCTTCAATTCTTCAGGTTTGATGTCATAGATGCCCGGTGCAGGGGCGCAACCTTGGGTAAAAGAAGATTTTCAGAATTTACAACACTTATTTGGTAGTAATAGAGAGTTATCGTGTCATTGTACTTTTTTGTATAGGAGTCATTCCAAAATTTGAGAATAATAAAATTCAAAAGGTACAGAGCGGTATTTGAACTTGTGACGCGATGGAATAAAGAATCACCACGGAGACGACTGCTATACCTAGTATGTCACAAGCTGGCACACTTCCAACGCTACAGGATTTGTACTTGTCGTTCACGCGCGATTCACGGCAAAACGGTAAAGTTACCGGTTGCGACAAAAATAACCATTGTGTGTGGTTTATTACTTGTTTTACTTCGACAACATGAAACATATAATAACGGATACATTCTTCCAAAGGTTGCTATCTAAATTGTCCTACAATTTTGAAATAAACCCAACGCTGCGTGCGTGATGCTAGTACGTGTCTGCTGCAAATCCGCAACGTAAATAAAACACCGCTCGATTTTACTTACCAACAGGTTCGTTGAACCTTTTCAAAGGAGCTCTTGCGAAAGACATTTCGATTCCCCAAGAGTGTGATTATTTTTCCCGAATGCCCAAAATGCGCAGCTCCCAAGGACAGCAGCAAACAGCTACTGGAGTTTCAGCGCTGAAATTTCAAAAAGACGTCATATACGCATTTCCGTGTGTGTGACCAATGAACGTCGGCTGACTCTCTGTTGACGTCACGCAAGCGTTTACGTTTAACAAAATACAGTAACACCATTCAAATGCATATTCTTCACCAAAATGATGCATCTTGTGCAAACCGGTGACAACAACAAAAAAGATCACACTTACCATTTCCAGCAGCCCCAGAGCTAAAGTTGTACTTCGTTTTTATTGGATACAGGACGAGCAATTCATAATAAAGGCGCAGAACATGACGTCTTCAGTAATGGCGAACACAAGACCAAATTTACTGATCAAATTCTGAGTCTCTTCACATTCAAAATGTCTTTAGCAAATACACAATGCTCAGATCAAATTAAACCAAAATACTCAAGCATGACACCTCCTTTCAGTTAAACATGTTTTATTTCATGGAAATACAACATAATTTCTCATCCTATGCAGGGCCATTGTTGTCCATTTGATAATCTTTTTCCCCCAGTTCCAGTGCTTCAAAACACGGTCACTTGTACAATTACATAAACAAAGCCTCATGTCACAAATGGAGCCGCCAATGACAATAAATTACACTTCCATGCTTAAGTTTCACAAAGATACATACTTTATTTTTACTAGATTAACCTGTAAATGAACAATAGATCAAAGTTGAATAAATATAATAAAAAGATAGTTACAAAAGAAAATTTCTCAATGAAAACGTAAGCAGAAAAAGATCACAAGTAGGGGTTATTGTTGAGTAAGTCATCTGTTATCCTTCTTGTGAAAAAATAAGGGCTAATTTATCATAGCTTGATAGCATTGCTAAAACTAAAGCAAAAATCCAACAATAATCAATACTGACTATTTTCAAGAAATGCTCAATTAATGACATGTTTTTCTTCATTTCACACATCTATTGGACCAGCATCATCCACACACACACACGCCAAACAGGTTAATCTAGTATAGCACTGTTGTCATCCACCCAGAGGTATTTACTCATCTTGTTGCTGTTTCAGATTCTTGAAAAAACAAAACATATTCACCAATCATTTTGTTTTCTTTCTACGTAAGGAATACCAACACTGTATTCGTCAACAGCATATAAAAATCTTTCCAACAGGAAAAAAAAGAAAAAGAAATGAGGTTTCCAGTCCGTAGCAGAAAAGCATACCAAGAATATGTAAATAAAAGTATTCATATTAAAACAAGAACAATTACAACACACATCACTTCACTTAGTTCGACTGTGAAATTTACATTAAAATTTGCGTTGAATAAAAATGTGTCAAGATAATCAAATGAGTTTGGAGGGGGTGGGATAATGAAACGCAAATGAAACCGGCCGGCCATGTAACATTGTTTCCTTGCTAGTAAGCGGACGCATTAAAAAAAAAAAAAATACCGGTACTGTCTTATTTTTTTTAAAGAAATCACTGTATTTGTAGACAGATGACCTATCATCGTCACATCAAATAATTACATAAATGAGAAAGAAATATATTCGGGAATGTGGATGTGAGCCCATAGCATCCGTAGTCGTGCCTCTGGTTTTGTTGCTGACATGACTAATAACTTGAATAATTAGCATCCATTAGGAATCGTATTTACCTTATGCTAGGACTCACAGTCATTGAAGACCTGGACTCATATTTTCTCATCTGCTTAAGAAATCCAATGTGGTGTACAGCTGAAAGAATATGAGAGGGCATGCATGAATCTGATTGCAAGTCATGTGTATATTCACATAAACAAATTCAGTTGTGAAGATATACTTTGTACTTCCACCTCTCCTCGACTCCACTACTGCAAGCAATCTCCGAAATTTCAGTGAAGGTAACAGTTTGAGATGATTCAAAACAGAATTTCTTCCGCCAATGTGAGGAGGAAATGAAGTAACTCTCAACTGTAAGAGACCAGAGATCGATATACGAGAAAGGGCATCACATCCATGAGGAATGTGGGTGTTTCAGTGTGTGCTGTCTGCCGACATCTATTTTCAACAAGTGGTAGCCAGGGATTGGTGTATAGGAGGCTGGAAACAGCGAACATGCTCCACAGTGGAACTGTCTGTCTCAACGGCCTTCATGTACTTGTTCAGGATAGCAAAGATTTCATTGTTAAGGATCTGGTACTTCCTGATGCGGTCTGCCATCTTCTTCAGTGGCTGTGAAGAAGAGAATAGTGAACACGTGAATTGCGGTTAATCAAGCAACTGGACAACATTGACGACTAAAAACGTGGTTGGTTCTTAATTTCTGCTACAGTTACAGTGCACCTACCACATTTTTGATGATCTCATCCTTGCCATCTTGTCTTTGCACTTTGAGCAGGTGGTAGCAAAAGTCGAAGAGATCAAAGCGACGCTGCTGTCCCAACAGAACAATGACAGCACAGCCGGCCCAGTTCAGGCCATCGCCAAAGCACTGCCTAAAGGTCAAAGCACACATGTCATGCTACACTTCTGATTTACTGTCATTAATTACAGTTGTGTGTGTTAGGAGTATTCCAAAAGTAAGAAAATAATCATTGCTACAGGCCAGTTGAGGCAGTAATGCTCCTACTACTTTACTACTACAATTTCACAAATAGTACCGTACTTATTACAAGTATTTTTTTACCTTGTGGTAACCAGACAACCAGTGCAAGTCTTATCCCCAGACAAGTCACCTGCTTGAATCGATTCAAAGCGCTCCGCTGGAATTTTTAAGTCATCAGTGATTCAATTAACTCTTACTGCCACTTAGGTTTCTGTTTATATCCTACTTTTGCACACATCCGACCGCACTACCATTGGCTGGCTTCTCAGTCACTTTTAATGCATCTCTGGATGAAATAAATGCCAGCCATTATACCTTTGTATCATGATGCAAACACTGAGTTGCATCATGATAATCATAATGTCATATGTACAGCACCTAATTTCAGACGAGTAAGTGTTAGGTTACTTTGTCTTTACTTTATTTGGGTACAGATACAAATTAAGATTATTTGATGAAAATGAATTTTCTGGAGCCACGGTAAAAATAACTTTTCATAACATTTTTAAGGAACCGATTTAACCAAGTCAGTGGCTCTCAAGGCTCGAAGGAGTGAGGTTTTTCACTAATGTACACTCACGCAGCACTAGGTGGCATCATTTACATTGAGTTAACTCTGCTGTTATGAATAGCATCTGATATAAGCAGTCTTCGTTGTAACAATTTTGTTTTATTGTTTTTCTAAGCAAAAAAAGTATCAATAAGAATACCGTTAAGGCAACGGATTCATAACCAGTATTGTTAAGAGTAGTAGTATCATTAATAGCCTATCAATACTCATCCCTCGCGTTGTGTACCTTGCGGTCCCACAGATCGCAGTGACATTGCCCCATATTGTTTTTATTTCACAGATCACAACGCTGTGTGTGTATATCGTTTTTCTTGTAATTTTTTTTTTTCATGATTGAGTTTTGTCTTTGCTTGCGCGTCGCCTGCGTATGATGTGGAAATTACATTCTCTGAATGGCTGCCGCCGACAAGCGACGGACTGGGCCAGCGTGAAATACTGACGGCACCTCCCTGACAGACTGATGACGCCCACCTCTGGTATTCAACTGTCTTTTTGGCAGATTGACATACATAAATCTGGTGTTACTCACTCTGCTGTGAACTCGTGAGTGCCTACTGGAATGCAATACACAAACTGCATTGCACTCCAGAGGCGGTGGAACTCCATGCACTCATCGACATGCATGACACCATTGGTGGGAGGAGGCCCGCGCCACACTCCGTCTTGCAAGAAGCTGCGGATACGCGTCAAGATGACCTCAAACATGGAAAGGCCACAGCACAGGCGTTCTTTGGTCAGCAAATCTCCCTCACGTGCAATGGCAATTTGCTACCAGAAAGACAAAACAATGAAATAACATACATTCATCTTGAAATATATACAAGAGAACTGGGTTTGCACGAGCAGAAAAATACCTGAGGGGTTCCCAGCCTCTCAATCAGAGGCACCAGGTGGAGAGGGGCGTACTTTGCTTCCAGTCTTTTCATCCTCACTTCCAGACGCTCTCCCTCTACACGTCACATTAACATTTTTCATGTCAAAAATATAATCACCCATTCAATTTGAATGATTTCGAACCAAATATACCTTTGATGTATACTCTTGGGAGAATGTTTTGGAAGGGGGCAGCATGAAGAAGGTCACACACTTCCTCCTGTGACTAATATTAAAAAAAAGTATACGGGATGAAATAGTATGAATGGGCTGTGATGCTTCAAAACATTTTAAGACTTCTCGAGCATGCAGGTAAGCCATGAAGTGATGTTAATTTCTCATTCATCCACCATCCTCTCCTATCCATAGTTTGTGCATGCTGTGTCAGTTAGATCTCTACATATCTGAGAAAATTAATGTCCCTCACATGTTGTATTTTTTTTTTTTTGGACAGTTAAGACAATAATAACATTTGGGCGTCAGTATCACTGTCGAGTTAGCAGTGAAAATGAAAGAATATGGAATTAGTTGATGCGAGAAGGCCTGGCTCACAAGCTGAGTTCTAGTTCATCCTAAAAGGTTTTTGATTGGGTTAAGGTCAGAGCTCTCAAGATCTTCCAACACAAATACGTTATGGACCTTGCTGTGTGCACAAGGAGACAGTAATAATGGAGCAGAAAAGGCCTTCCCAAAACTGTTCCCAAAAAGTTGTGATAATGGAACTATCGAAACTGTTTTCTAAGATTAATAATTTATTTCAGCAAATCAGGGTCGTCATAACCTTTACGCATATTTTAAGATCAAATCAACTGTTCCTGTTCTTTTAGCATGTGATGACATTTATTGAAGGCACACAAGCTTAAATGAAATGAAACACTAATGTTAAATAATTTCTAAGTGTGTGCATTCATGACAGGATGAGCCATGCAGTAATAAAAGCAGGACACATGCTTCTATGTACAGTACGTATGTTGAAATAAAATAGGATATCCACAGATGTCGCCTATTTAAAAAAGGTTAGTGTTTGATGTAAAAATGAGATGTTATGCAAACAAGAAACATGCACCTAGAATCAGAATACATGTTCATCACGTGACTGCAATAGCAAGCCTCCAACAATGTGACACAATTTCCTCCGTGGATGAAAAGCACATTGGGATTCTTATACAGTAGCTTGTTATTGTTTTATGAATCTGTCTTTAGATCTCAGTTAATGCCACATCTGTTTTTTTCTAGGCCTGTTGTGATATAAAACCGTGTCATGCAAACGCAGAAATAGAAAGAGAGCACAGCAAGCCAAAGCAAAATGAGAGAAACGGAAAGAAAGAAATCATCTCAATGTTATTTAGACGGCAATGAACAAAACCCATGTCCTTACCACCTGTGGTTGATGCCAGCGTGTAATGAGAAATAGAATCATAGTTTCAAGATTAAACTCACTGTAGCAATCAGACTGGGGTCTGAAAGACTCTCTGATAGCTGATTTAGAGGACATTTTCAATCAGGCAGAAAACTTTAGACTCCCACACAAATGACACAACACATTCGCAGTCCAGGCTGGGGGATCTTATTATACCATCTTAAACTGTCATGTCAGCAGCAGAATCGTGATCTTACCAGAGCTTGCTCAATGAGCAGGCAGAAGAGAATGGCGTTCCCCACCTCCCTTAAACTCTGGAAGACATCTGTCTTGAGCTCAGCGTACTCGATTATATCCTTGAGTTGATGGTGGAAGAACTCCAAGATCCCTACAATTAAAGGCGGATGGAAATCTTGCTGTCCACTCAATCTTTTTATGACATAAATTACAAATCCCCCCAAAATAAATATTTTTTTTCCCACCCACGCTTAAAAACAAATGGGTTGTTTGGGACGGTAAAATTCATCCATACAACTAATAATCTAAGATTGAATGATGTCAGAGGATTTGTTGACCCACACTGTGTCCAAGCATCAGGATGAGAGAGGATAACTGATGGTAGTAAGATTTCAAACGAGTAAGTCGGGTCAGAATTTGTGGTACAGAACGTTGGTAATCTAAGGATTACTAAACCCTTCTCATTGTGGTAGCCCAGCCGCCAAAAGTCTGATCTGAATTTGCAGGTCAAGTCAAGATGCAAGGAGGTCATTCTGAATGGGATGCAAAGTGGTGCACCGTTTATGGTATAACTCTTTTAACCTTCCAGTGTTGTCATTGAATCACTCACCCGGGGAGCCGTATTCATGGCGGGGTAGGCGGCAGATTTTGGGCATGACTTCAATGAGTGTTTTTACATACTGCAAGATGGTGCCCTGTAACTGAGGGGACACAAAGATGAACCGCAAAGTCATATTGAGAGTCCACAAAAAGAAAAAAAAAAAAAAAAAAAAAGAGATGGTGGGGACATGCTCATGAGAGGAAAATAACAATGAATACCAAGCTCTTGACAATCTTGAGCAGCTCCTCCATCACAACAGCAATGCCTTGGTAACCAAGAAGACGACAAATGGTCTTGAAGTGAGGTGGGCCAACAAAGTTCCTGTAGGAGCTGTATATGTGAGAGTAGGCAATGTTCAGAGGCTAAGAGGAAAAGAGGAGACAAAAAAAGAACCAGTGTCAGTCAGCAAACGACATACAGTCTGTTTCAATCTATGTCGTTAGTGAAACAATCTTTTTGAAAATGAAATGAAATGTGCGTAAGACTAAGGCACACCTTGGACCCATACAGGTAATAAGGCTGCACGTTAGCTGGCTTGTCTCTCTGGGGCTCTTGGGTGAAAGGAATAGCTGTGCGTACAAATCTGAAAATAAAACAGGCTTAAAACAGTTCAACGTTTTACCATTGAAAAAAACGCGTATCTGCAAGCAAGGACAGACCGGTTGGTGGATCCATTGTAGCAATAATTAGGGAGGAAATCGAAATTGAGCTCCCAAAAGACATGAAGTGTAATTCGGCCGTAGGGAGCTGAGACGTTGTGATTGGCCTCACGGAACATGGCATCAAAGCTGTCCAAGGTCATGTGCTTGGACAGAAGCCGGTGGGTCAGTCTATTGATCTCCAGAAGCCACTCCAACTCCTGACCCAAGCGTGACACAAAGTGTTGCCTTTAAAATCGACATCGAACGCTGAGCTATTTCCCCGGGGTACGATATGTGATCTTTACCACAATAGAGGTTAGATCCTCGCTTTCAAAGCGGCTGATGGCATGGTCCAGAGACTTGTACATGGCAGCAGAGATCCTCTGGGTGATAAGACGATTCAGGTCAATGGAGCGACCCAGAAGCTGTAGCGCACAGAAGGAACCGAGTGAATAAATAAATAAGTCAAGTGCACAGTTATATATTCAAGTTGTTTTTAGTACCTGCACATGTCTCTGTTTAAGCAACGTCTCATAGCGGTTCGAAGGAGGGTACGGTATAATCACCCCATAGTTTTTACACTCTGCACGGAAGCGCTTGTCAAGCAGGACACTTTGTGGGGGGAGAAAAAACAAAACTCTTTTAATCGGTGCAAATTATTGTGCCTAATCAAACTGATTAGGACCAATTCACACTTCCCACCTTCCAGCCATTGCTTTATAGTATGCAAATATCTGGTCAGCCAACTTGTAGACAAACTGATCAAAGCAAAGGTTGACCTGTGAAGGAGTAAACACTTTTATTTCAAGAAATGGTCATAAAATTATGACATTTGAATTGAGGATACCATTAGACATTACCTCAGCCTCAATCTCATCATAGAGGAACTGCTTCTTGAACTTAGTAAGAGCATAGTAGCCACTGTCATTGTACAAATCCAGGGGATACAGCACATACCTAGCCAAATGAGGAACGCATTAAACACATTTGGTTCAAAACCCAATCTGACTTGTTGAGGAAGTGGGACTCACTCCATCATTGACGGTTCCTTGGTCTCCAGGATGTGATCGGTGAGAATCCACGGCATGGACATCTCAATAGGGAACTGGATTCTGCGGCCCATGGTTAGCTCAAGGAAGAACTCTCTAAACCAGAGTTGGGACAGGTCACAACACTGCTGCAGGGCCTCTGGACATTCAAAGGACAAAACAAAGTGAGGTGTTTCTTCAAATAAATACAGATTCATACACTCGAGTCATTTTGTTTATCATTCCCACATTGTGTTAGGTCAAATATGCCAGCTTTTTAGCCATACACACTTAATATAACATAGTGAGACACAAACATTCCCAAAAGGAACATAACGAAAATATGGTATGTCAGGAAGACTTTCTGCAACATTATGGGGCCTGTCTGTGCGAATTGTTTTCTATTCATACAGCAGAACATTTGCAAGGTCAGAAGTCAGAGACAAGAGCCTCTGACTCCCAATCCCAGGTCGAGTTCATCCCAAATGTGTTCAAGATCAAACCTTAAGTCACCAAATCATCCAACCGGAAGAAAATAAAAGAGCCTTTCTCAAACTGATCAGACAGAGTTAGAAGCAAACAAGTGTCCAAAATGTATTGTCTGTCTAAAACGAATAAATCGAGATTCAGGGGGAACGAGCAGGCCTGATCAGCCCCTGATGGACTGATTAACTGTTTCAGGACAAGGACCTCAACTGTCTTGCTCAATGAGGTCATTCATTGTCTGTGCAGGGAGATTGTCCTCACCACTGAAGTTGAGCAAGTGTGTGAAGAAGAAGGACTGTTTGTGGAAGTCTTCTATGGCTACCACAATGGGTCCATCCAGACTGCTGCGCAGGGTCTTTTTAGAGCCACTCTTGTCTGCAATCAGTGACTCCAACATAGTGCGCACCATGTACAGCTGTAGGGAACACAAAGAGGGACCATGAAGAAGAAAGAATATACACACTAGACAATTTAATAAGATTGAAAACAAGAGCAACTCTATAGTGATACTATACTCAATACAATTTTAAGAGCGCAGTTCTGTGTTCTTGCTCAATTCCAGTCATAACCACGAAGCAAATTAAAATCACCGGATTTTCACGACGATAGGGCGCACCGCATTAAAAGGTGTGGTGACAGTTACGGTGCTACTCCGGTATTTAACATGTACACAAGACGCACTGTATTGTTGGACGCACTCTTGGTAAAACTAGGGGCATGCCTTCAGCGTCCTCTTTCACGCCCACCTTTCCCACTTTGACGTCCGCATGCTGTCCTCAGTTATGGCCGCCTTGACTCTATATAAGCAGCATGTCGGCACAACATCAGTCAGTGAAGCAGGCGCCTCATCGAAGTGACACAATAGCATTCACAGATTTTGGAACTCGGTGCATACACAAGGCGACCCGCATTATTAGACCACTTTGGGAGAAAATGTAAGACTTTTAATTGGATCTTATGGTCGTGAATATACGATAAGTGTCATTACCGATGAGGGGAAGAATTTGTTGGACTTAATTATCTTGTACTGATGTAACTAAGGAAGTGGCTGCCAAGTGGTTAGTATTTGCAACTTAACGTACTTTGAGAGGAATTACACACCAAAGCACTTGCACCTGTTGCATGTCATGTATTCATTTCCGTCCCTTTTGTTGATGATAACTTCAGTGAAACTCACTTGTGTGCTCGAAGGCCCCACAGCTCTCCGGGGCACCTTGATATCAAAACCGCCTTTGGGGTCCTTCTCCCCCCTCAGACACGGATCATTTGGTGGTTCCCTTGCTCCTTCCCAGTCACAAACGGTTTTTCGAATGGCTTGAAGAACGCTGAAGAGAAAGAAAATGGGCAGATAGAGCCACACGAGACAACATGACATACAGTCCATCAGTTGTGCTTCTGAGCAAATGATCTGTATATACCTAATGAGGACATTCTTCTTCTTGCGCACGGCTTGGCGCAGAGGCTCTCTGAGGGTCATCTGGGCAAAGTCCTGCAGTGCTGCATAGATGGTATTCCTGATAGCCTGATTAAACACGGACTCCATTCGGCCCATCAGGACCTGATTAGCACAACAACATCAGAATGAGTGCTAGCATCGCACTTGTAGTGGGAAGAAAGTTTTGAAGCGGTATCAACAAAAGAAAAAAGATGCTTTATGTGTCCGAATCTGAGCATATCCATCTGTACTCTATACAAAAGGGCAAAAAAAACACGCAAAAACCTGAAGCGGTCATTCACACCTGAAGCCCTTTAATCATGGCAATCACTTCCACTAGCGCAAACTTCTCCTCACTGGTGTAATTATAACGTGTGGCTCGTTCATACTCCTCTGCTGTGCCCGGACAGTCCTTGTTACAAAATTTATCTGTGGGATGGACCAGCTTCCATGAGTACTGAAAGAGCCAGAAAGGGTGGATTATTTTGATGGTGCCTTTAAGAATACACAAACACTCACCGGCGACTTCTAACACGCCAGGTACACACACGTACACAATCTTAATGAGCTACAATACAAGAGGAGATTCAAAAGGTACTACTCACAACTTCCATGACATGCGTGCTCCACTTGGACAACAACTGCAGACCCCTCAGTGAAAGGTCAAAAAGCTCTCTGTACTCCTCATCTGATTTCTGGCTGTCCAGGCCTGAGCCCGTCACCACTTCGCTGTTGCTATAGCGTGCCAGTTCAGAAATGAAGCGAATGTGGTCCTCTCTGATCTGGACCATCTGCTCACACAGGTTGTACTGTGGCGAAATACTGCTCTGGGTGCACGTCCACCTGTGTGCACAAGGGGGTGACGAGGAAGGGTTCATAAGGTTCAAGAAGGAAGGGGACCTGTTCATCTGAAAGTGTGTATTAATGGGTCTCTTACTTGGACTTGTTTTCCTCGTAGTGAGCACTTGTCTCAATGTAGCGGGACAACTCTATCTGCATGTCTCCAAATAGTGGCACCACTTGAAGCTTAAAAGCACAACAAAGAAAGTCTCTTCTGATACGGTTGATTTTGAACAGAGATAGATTAAAAAGTTCCAAGTCTTACTTTAAAGAATTTGTCAATCTTGCTAAGGTTGATCCTCTTTTTGGCGTCTAGTTTGTAGATATTACTCACATTCCCATCCATCAGGTAAAGACCAAATCCCATCACCTGACACATAGACACACATACTTGTTGTTTTAGGGTGGAAAAAGGCAATCTCCGACCTCAAGCGCATGACTACAGTAAAACGGCTGGTAAGAAAGTATGAAATGTGTGTACCTTGAGAAGCATGTGTTTCTCACTCGGAGTCAAATACATCTTGTTCTCGTAATAATCTACACAGATGTTGACGATATCAGCCAAAAGTTCCTCGTAACCTGGAATCACTTCCAGCTGTTGGTGCAGGCACTACACAAACACACAACAACAGAGAGAACATATAATATTCAAAGTTTGGAAATGGTCACTTCCAAATAGACATGCCCACAGTTCTTTGCATATAGAGTAGATATTTCCCAGGTTATTGGACAACCCGCTCTACCAATGAAGCCACGGTTTCCCAGCAAAACTAGAATGCCGTTGTTGACCTGTTGGTAGACGGTGATACCAGCAAGAGTCCAGCTGATCACCAGATATCTCCAGCGCCTGGCAGGGCAACAGCAACATGCTAGCCCTGCTGGGCTGCTGTGGTTTGTTAGTGCAGATTGGTTGTTTGAATCTTGACTTTATTTGTTCTGTTTTTGCTGCTGGTTTTGCTCATCATACAGGCCAGGGCTGTTTTTATTTTGTATTGTTTTGCGTAGCAGTGAAGTTACACAATTTGGTGGGAATAATCCAAGGAGTAGATAAAGTAAACATAGTAGCATGTAACAAACAAACCTGAGTGATCCTGTTGTGGTTGGCTAAGAACATGGACAGATTCTGAGATTCCTGGATGGATTGAGGGTCAGCCATCTTCCTCAGGAACTGAGCAGCCCTGAAGACAAAGAGAGCCCGACACATTAACCAGTGTCCCTTTTGAAAAAGCAAATGCAGGAATGAGAAAGGTTGCAATTTTGCATGGCACAGTACCTTTTGTAAGCAGAATGATCATTCTTTACGCTACATTTCATGTTTTTCAGTTCGTCCAGTACAGCAAACATGTTGATAAATTTGCCCAGAGTGAGGAGATAGGCCTCAGAAACAAAGTCTTTCCTTCTCTCAGCATGGCAGAGACGCTTCACTTCGCTACAGAAACGTTCTATAGCTTTCCGCTGAAGAAGAGAAACAAATTGAAACCCATAACACGTCAGTATTTGCTCTGATGCAAAGCAATAAATAGACGTTTAGATGTACAAACAGTACATCCTTTAGACACTCATGTCCTTACACTAATTATCACTTTAAAATGTCTTACTTGGAAGTACATAAACTTCATGAGCTTGGTGACTTCAGGCTCCAACACCTCCACTGTTTTCTCGTAGATCTCAACTCTGTTGGGTTGCTCATTGCATTTCACCTAATAAACACCAGAGGGCACCATTACAGATCTTGCCATTCTAGCTCATACACCAAATGAATTGGAGCATTTAAAATTGAGCGTCAAACCAGGACCACAAGATAAATTGCAGCACTAAAAGAAGGAATGCTGATAATTGCAGTAAAATATAAATACACCTTGTTTTGTGTATTTTTTTTGTTTCAAAGTTTTCTTCGGTTTCTTGATGTTTAAGTTCGCGCTGCCACCCATCGAAAGGGGAACTTGTGGGTTGAACATGACAATCTAACATACACCACACTAGATTTCACAGTACAGTCAGTGAAATAAAAGGAAAGTGTGAGTCTACCAATCAACATTTATTTGTGTCTGAATGTTACCTGTGGAATAGCTCGAGAGCAGCTTCTCCAAGTGTAAAGCATCACAGCATACTCATGTCCTTCCTCCAGCATTTCATTCTGCACAATGTGTAAAAGTAATAATGCGTTATTTCAACCATGTGAACAGTGTGTTCCTCAAGCAAAAAAAAAAAAGCTGGTCATTAAAAAAGCTGCTATCATGATACTAATAAAATAAAAATGTAAACTTAAACAATGCTAATGACTATTACATTATCAAGTTAACCAATACAGTCTCAAAAATATGTATGTAACATATTACACGAAACAATATGAATTTTTCAAACCAGAAGAACATTTGAGCAATTGTTTTCTTTGCAGTTTGTCAGTTGCTCAGATCATTTTGACAAGTTATTGTTGAGAATTTTATTGCGTGCAGGTTTGTCTTAAATTTACAATGTCTTCACAGAATAGCATGTTCCTCTCGGATGAGCAACTTGTTCCATTATGAATGGGCACTTATTAATATTTCAGCAGGGGAACATTCCATTCAGAAATTCCCTCCATTCAGAAATAGGTGAGACACATTTCTCAATCCCACTCGTTCTATCATCCTAAAATAGACTAGCTTCAGCCAAAGTGAGACTTCTTGATGAAATAGACTTGAATAAAGCACAGCTTCCCCTATTGTAAACAGTGTTTTCCTAAAGAAAAAAAAAAAAAGCTGGTCATTAATAAGCTGCTATCATGATACTAATAAAATAAAAATGTAAACTTAAACAATGCTAATGACTATTACATTATCAAGTTAACCAATACAGTCTCAAAAATATGTATGTAACATATTACACGAAACAATATGAATTTTTCAAACCAGAAGAACATTTGAGCAATTGTTTTCTTTGCAGTTTGTCAGTTGCTCAGATCATTTTGACAAGTTATTGTTGAGAATTTTATTGCGTGCAGGTTTGTCTTAAATTTACAATGTCTTCACAGAATAGCATGTTCCTCTCGGATGAGCAACTTGTTCCATTATGAATGGGCACTTATTAATATTTCAGCAGGGGAACATTCCATTCAGAAATTCCCTCCATTCAGAAATAGGTGAGACACATTTCTCAATCCCACTCGTTCTATCATCCTAAAATAGACTAGCTTCAGCCAAAGTGAGACTTCTTGATGAAATAGACTTGAATAAAGCACAGCTTCCCCTATTTGTAAGTCGAGTCACACAAGTCCCCCTCACAACATCATTCATGGAGGAGGAAGTTGAGTGGAACTTTGCTCTGTCGTAATTTTTGGCTGGACCAACAACCAAACAGTTGGCCATACTAATTCTGATGGCAGACCAGTCGTAATGAACCATTTGAAAATACAAAAAAGGTCTCACCATGCTGGAGTGGACTGTAGCTTGCTCAATATAACGAGCAATGCCAGTCACAAATGCATTCCTATCTTCAAAGTTGGTATCAAAATTGGCCTGGAGAAGAAGGGAGAGATTAGTGAGGACAGTAAGATACATTGACACGAGCTGGACAGGTGAGAGTGTAGGTGGGTTTGTACCTGGTACATAATGGAGGAGGGAGGGGGTTCAATGCATGGCTGCTGGTCTGGGAGGGGCAGCTCCTCCAGCAGGTCCACATTGGACAGGGCATCTTCAAGCGTCACGTGGGTCGTCATGGTTACAATGCCTCAATCACACCACACTCAAGTCTGAACGATGAAGTGAGAACATGAGATGATTACCATTAAATAGCCCGCGGATGAATTATGCCACTAAAGAGAAGGAGATTTATTATGCATTTTGCTTCCTATATCTGTGACATGCTTTTGTCAAAATGCCCCAAGCAACAACCAACCAATGCAGGATACGGCTTTTGTTACCATGACAACCATAGCCGGGGGGCTCAGGAGTGGAACGAGGCAAGCCGCTTCGACTTACAAAAGCAGAGCCCAGAGTGTGGAAAGAGTGCCCGTGAAGATAAAAACATAGTCACTCATGAAGGCAGCACTAGTTCATGAGTTAAAATTAAAAAGAATGAGTGTGTGAATCTGTGCATGTGTTTAGTATAAGAACCGTACTTTCCAGATGACTTTATTTCACATTTTGAACCTTGCAGCTTTTAATATGTTTATTTTTGAATTATTACTGACAAGCTTCAAGCTGCCAATAGATTTACTCATCGTCTCGTCACATCTGTCCAATGAAATTCCAAATACATCACAGTGGACCATTGAAACTGCCCCAAGTCCGCTCTCATACTGAACATTAATCAGCCATTTGTGTTTGGAGTGCACACACGGGAGGAGCTGTCTGCGGCATTGCAGAAGTGTGTGCGTGGCTCTGTAGGGCGAATGTAGAAACTATATTGTACATAGTAAAGCAAAAATAAGCATCTAGAGTTGAGTTTAAGCCTCGGGAATGAGTGCCATAAATATATCCATCTCTGCAGTGCGACCCCCGTCTCTCTGTTGTTTGTTTGGGGACTGACTACCACCATTGCTAGTAAATGACTGAAAGGATAGCAATTCCGGCCAAGTCTTTACATTCCCTGCATTTCCCCAATAGGAAACAAACAGGTTTCCAAAGGCTGCTCTGCTGCGTAGTGAAGCTTGTCAGCAAAATGGCATCGTGTGACAAGAAGAGACACTGAGAAAGGTTCTGGAACGCTACTCGGTCGCTAGCTGAATTCTGCATTGTTTGGGGGGTACGGCGGGGCGTCTACCGGTGTTTCAGGAAAATAGAAGTGTTCAACTGTGTGGCCTCCATGTCCCATGTTACAGCATTGAGACCTGCAGCTAATAATACCAAGTGGGCAGTGTATGTATATTTGTATTTATGGCTAAATTTAGCTGTTGTGGCTTTTAATCAGGTGCATTTTGTAGACCAGAAATGACCAGAAATTAAAGTAATGATAAAATAAACAGGTCTAGGTATGTCAATTCGTCATCTGAACCCCTTTTTCTATGTCCTTGCACCTGCATCTGTATCATCTCCCTTTTCAATACAGACATTCACAGCAATACAATTCTAAACTAAGCAGGAAAAATCTTGTGTTTGTGTCAGAAAATCTACATGAAGAAATTCAATGAGAAATATGGGAAACGCTGTGACACGTGTCCATTGAAAATGGAGTTGCTGTACTGTGTACTGTCTGTTGCACATTGTTATGCATGTACAATCACATGATACATGAGGCGATATTTAATGTATGTAAATCACCGTCGTGATCGCTGCTAGAAATGTAGTGCTACTCTTAAGAAAGTGCAGCGAGTCCTTGCCCTCTTTTTGTCATGACAATCACCAGCACAACTGCAGCAGCATGTATAAGCTCTTAATGCCCATCATGGGTCTTTGGAAAATGTGTGTTTACATCAGACCGGGCAGACAAAGTTGACAGGGCCAATAATCGGCTTAATATGCACAGCCGGAAGCGAAAAGATGAGTGTGGAAAAGAAATGTGCCAGAATAAACTATTATGTGTGACTCTTCTCTGACTCTGAGTTTATCCTTGTGCAATGGTACAAAGTACTGCAAAACATGACTGTGTTTAACTGGTATTCATTCATCGATTTAATAAACTCATGCATCCATCCATTTTCAACACCGCTAATCCTGGACAGGGTCGTGGTGAGTTGCTGGAGTTTATCCCAGCTGACTTCGGGCGGAAGGCAGACTACACCCTGAACTGGTCGCCAGTCAGTCGCAGGGCACATATAGAGACGAATGAAAATTCACACCGACGTTCTCACCGTCACTGAGTGGGAACCGATCACATGCTGCCCGCACACAAGTCAGGCGAGTCTACCACTACACCACCAGCGACCCTTAATAAACTCAAATGTAGGTCCATATTCGTTTTCATTTGTGTTAGATACAAAGTTCTAACGTAGTTGTTCCAAATATATAGTAACAATGTGATGTGAACACACAATTACATATGCTGCACATATATTTATATTAAAGTATAAAATGCAAATAAATAAAATATGTAACTATAGTAATAGAAGGTAATTCTGAGAACTGCTGTGTTGTTCAAAAACACAATGTGGACTGCAGCAACTATGAGTGTATTAACAATCCCAATCTTAAAAATAAAACAATTTTCCTTTTCAGAATCTCCAACAACATTTATATTTTGGGGACTTGGGTCACCAGAAAAGTTTTTCAAATACTCTGCTTATAGAAAGTACAAATTGCCTTTAACAGCGCTGCTGAGCTCCGATTCTCTTCATGTTTCCGAACACTGGCATTCAAGGCAGGAGTTGGCTGAATAAACTTTCCCACTCTATACAATATTGTGTGTGTGTGTGTGTGTGTGTGTGTGTGTGTGTGTGTGTGTGTGTGTGTGTGTGTGCGTGCGCGTGTGTGTCACCAATACATAGCAAAGGGCGCTTTCTTCCCAATAGAGTTTATAAGGACTATTGGTTTATTTTGTGTTATTTGTTCAGCGGTTTGGATAATGGATGGATGTTTGTTTTTTTTGTTTTTTTGCGAAGGATTGAAGGACTAAAAGTGTACATCTACTGGGCCATATCACCCAACCCTCGTTGACTTACAGATGCTGAGTACCCCCACTAATCGTAAGTCTTAGGGACCGCAGTCTCCTGCGAAGAGCAAAAAAATACATTGACGTTGATTGACTGCCTTTTGGGCGCCTCTACACATGAAAGCATCAACCAGTGAACATGTAGAGGAAGGGACTTTGGAAACAAAAACAACTAAACGAAACAGTAAGAAGCCAAGAAGATAGCATGGACAACATCCTTTAACAATAGTAATAACCATACTGCACTGTTAAATTAATAGCACTCTGAGAATGAAAATAAAAAAATATATATCATTACTAACAAGGATGTTTATCTGTTGTGCAGTGAACTGTGGCCAGTGCCTGTTATCATGCACTCGTCAAGAGAACACAGACTGAGAGAAAGTGTGTCAAGTGTAGGGTGGCACGACTGAATGGAATCCCCTGCCCCGGGGTTGACTATGTTACATTGATTCATGCTCACCAAACAAAACCAATCTAGAGCATGTCAAAACCCATGTTCCAGCAAAGTCTGTGAAATGTACTGCATCGGACGTTGGCTAGTGTCACCTGACCACATCAATGACATGTTTTTATTTGAGACCATTAACAATTGACACCACAGGCTTGTGCGAAAACAAGCCTGGTTCACATGACCAACCTTCCCAAGTAGGAGAAGGGATGAGGGCAAAACAAATCGCAATCATCATGTTATGTAAAGGAAGTAAATACGAGCAGACAACATTGACCTTAAAAACGAGAATTTGTGTGTTTTGCCTAGTTTTGTTTTGTACCTGGAATTCAAATCTGCTTTCGCATTTTTTGGAATGAGCGTAATATGTACTTCCGGGTAATGTGCTGGGTAAACCTCTTTTATTTTGGAGTGAATTTAAAACCAACAGTTCCAAGTCCTCTTCCATGACTCTTTCTTTGAAATACTGCCATTGGTCAACCAAACGCAAAAAATTAAAAAATATGTTCCCTCGCAAAGATTGCGAGATAATGCATTTGTGTTGTTGTTTTTTTGTTTGTTTGTTTGGTTGGTTTTTTTTTTGCTTCAATGTCACCTTAGAGGCTCCGTATTGAGGTGTATTCTAAGAATATGTTTTTGCTTGTGGTTGTTGTTTACAATTGTGGAGCGCAGTACTAAATCAGAGTGACTCTTTTGTTGGTGTATTTTTGCATATTTTTAAGCAACATGATTGGTGCTAAATATTAGAAACATGAGATGCAAAGCTGTTGTATTTTAGCATCTTAACACCTAATCGTTTCATTTTCTTCAAGAATTTCCTGTGATGGAATTTTATAAATGCGCGACATTTTTCTCATGTGATTTTTATAACACAATCAATGTGTGGTTTTGCTCTAGAATTGGATGTGATGATGATGTTTAGAACGCCAATGAATGTAACATGCCAAGTTTTTAATGTCAAAAACTATTTGAACATTTGAAACAAAATAGATGGTTAAATGGACCATTTTGTGTGGTGATATTAAGAAAGTAAAACATTACAAACACATCAGATTATGTAGTTTTTTCCTAATCCATCGCAAACTACGACTACAACCACATTAATAAACATTTTGTTAAACCATCAATTCTTGAACAATGGCAATCCAAACAGAGCCTTATATTTGATGTAAAGCACAATATTGGAAGCTTCTCTTTCACAAGGTGTTTTTTGATTGTGTCGAAGTAGGCAATGAAGTGACCAGATGGTGGAAAAATAATAATGCAATATAGTAGTTGATACTGATTTTTGTATGAGGCTTTTGAGGGAATTTTTCGGTGTCATCTGGAAGCACATTTGGTGAAGAATGCGGTCAACTACAAATCATGACATCACGGCTTTGGGTGAGGGGCTGAATTACACATTCACACAACAGTCAGGTTCCAACCGCGCAGAAGGCACACGAGATATACATGGTGGGAGCCTGCGCGGGGATCGCGTGAGTTCGTTGGAAATTGTTAATCTGGACGTGAAGCAGAAGTAGGTGAATACTGGATGTCATTTGAGCATCAGTCACAGGCCCGCAGGCGTGTCACCATGAGAGCAGTGGAGCCTCTCCAATGTTGACACCTCGCTTACTCTCACATCCACGCTGAACCTACTTTCACAAAATGAGGAGTCATATATCAAACGACTATTTTATGCAACACCCTGGCAGTTTTTCCTCCATGTGAGAAGTGGAGGAAAAGCGTGTGGCCTGCATCACTCATCGGTGCACTTGCTACGCTCGCATCACCCCACCCATCTCAACAGCTACGATGCCGCTGGAAGCTAACGGGAATCCCGTGTGTGGGGGTAATGAAAAAGAACCGTCTCACTCTCAGCAACGCTCAACGACCTTTAATGCACTAAATGTGTAAGCGCTCATAAATACCGATAATGATGCACTATGTGAGCAGGAAGTGAGGCAGAAAGGGAGCGCACATCACCAGCGAGCCCACGTTCATCTTCGAGGCTCCATCCATCGCCAAGTCGGCACGTACCTGCAAATCTCATGTCCGTCCGACAACACGGGAGGACGGACGGGCAGTGCAACGCCGATTCGACCTCTTCACCGCCTTGAGCACGTCTTCAGAGTCGACTGGTGGTCTAGTTTTGCCCCGGTGCCGAACCAGCTCTAATCCACCCCACACAAAGAGCAGAAAATGGCTGCAAGTGCAGTTTCTTAAAGGGACAGTCACACTGGCGCCGACATGATCAGAATGACAATGAGGCAAACGTGATGCTTTTCGCGGTCATTCGTGTCCACAAGCATCCATCACCGAGACCGTTTATAATCACCATTAGTTATGTTTTAATACACGAGCGTCATAAACACACACACACACACACACACACACACACACACACACACAGACGCGCACACACAAACGTTAAGTGTATTTCTTCGGTCGTTATTATTTGAACATTTTTTTTTTTTAACTGTACCAGAAAATAGTAGAAAAATTGAGCCAATTTGAGCTAGCTCTTAAAAACATGACCCGTAACCCAATTTTCTTCTCAGTATGAGCTCAATGTAAATTAATAAACGAGGGAAACTATTTTGTGTGCTGAAAAGTCATTGTGCCAAGTTATTAAAACTGGTATTGTCATCGGAAACATTTGCATTTGGACATTTCAGTCTCGTTTAAATTGATTTCAGAATAAGAATCAGAATCATATTTATTAGTCAAGTATGAAAAACACACAAGGAATTTATCTCCGGAAGTATACATTGTCTCTTTTTTATTTTATACACAAGTAACTACTACCATCTCTCTTCTCTTCTACTAACGGCAATTCAAGCACTATACACTAAATCGAACATTTAATTATTAAAATGCTATACAGTTTGTGTGTGTGTGTGTGTGTGTGTGTGTGTGTGTGTGTGTGGTTGCGTGCGTGCGTGCGTGCGTGCGTGTGTGTGTGTGTGTGTTTCAAGAAAACATCTTGTTCCTCCAAACCTGTTGTGCAATCAGCATTATTGGTCCCTATTTTCTCCATGTTTACTCCACTCCCAAGATCTCAATTACATCAATATCTCAACCACAGTTGACTTTACATCTGTTTTTCTTTTTACATCATGTCATCATTTGTAGATGTTAAAAAATAACCTGCCTGTTAAAGTAGGGAGTAGAAAGTACAGATATCTGTTTTTAAAATAAATAAGAAAGTAAGTCAGCAGAATACTATATGCTACAGTCAAGTACCAATACCAGAAAAAATGTAATGTGCGGTAAAAAAAGTATTTGGACTGTCAGTACAGATTTTGGTTTTCATTTACAATACTTTTTTGACATACAAAACATTCATAGTGGACCAGTTGCCTCTTTACTTAATAAATAATGTAGTCATAATGATTGCCAGATTGTGTAACATAGTTTATTCTGATCTTTTGTGACCATTGCATTGGAGCCGCAAATACACTTATAATATTACATAACCTAGAGAAATATGAGAAGTTCCATCCATCCATCCATCCATTCTCTAATCCGCTTATCCTCACAAGGGTCGCGGGCGTGCTTTCCCAGCTGTCTTCGGGCAGTAGGCGGGAAACACCTTGAACTTCTAAAATTCATACACACTGCTCAACAGAATGAAGGAAAATTAAATTTGAGTTGTGTGTTGCTTTAGATGTACAATGTAGCTATGTAAATACAAAGCATGTGAATGGATACAGGGCAATGAAATGGTTAAAGTGCAAATGGGGTGACTAAGGCATGTGTGAGAAGCATGAATTTATTGTACAATATATAAGAACATGTCAAACGTTAGCCACTGATACAAAAAAATTGAATAAATATAACTTTGCTTAATGTTTAGCATCCACTACTCATATGTTGGTTCAACAGCCTTAAAATAAGGAAAGCTCATGCAACAGCAATGCGAAGGATGGACGATCCACTGGTTTCTAGGAATGAAGACATGGATGAAAAGTCAATGCACAACTGTTATTTGTGTGTTTTTTGTTCGACAATATACATCAAATTCTTTCTCCCACCTCTTTCCAGCACCACTCCATAAGCAGATATACAGCCTCTGGTGCCAGTCGTGGCTTAAGCAGCCTCATGCCAGCATTCAGGGACTCTACTACTTGAGCATTGGATTGGTTCTCATAAGGAAGCCGGCCCTCAGTGTAGACTTCCCACATGAGAACACCTGAAGGTGTGATGACAATAGACATTCATATCAGTTGGTAAACCAAACAATCATGAAACTTTGAAAAGCTATGCTCTGACACATTGCATAAATTGGTGCTCTCGATGAAAAATCTGGTAATTTCGCTCTCCTTCCTTTACATTAAAATGAACAAATATGTTGATTTAACAATCTGAAGTCAATAAACTCATGCAGAACTGAATCCTACCAAAAGACCAGACATCAGATTTGCTGCTGAACTTGCAGTATTTGATAACCTCTGGTGACGACCACTTGACGGGAAACTTGGAGCACAAAGAACTTGTGTACTGGTCATCAAGAACATATCTAAAGCACACAAAGTAGCAGTGACCAGTGAGATACAGCTACAACGTTGCCATGATAGGAGAGAAGATGTGAAATACCTGGTCATGCCAAAATCAGACAATTTAACCACGTTGTTCTTTGAAACTAGGCAGTTCCTGGCAGCCTAAAATTGAAAAAGTGACATAGAATGAAAAGTCAACTCAAACCAGTGACAAACATATTTTTTTCAACTATTATTAATATTATTATTATTATTTTATTTTATTTTATTTTTTTAACCAGATCTCTGTGGATGAAGTTAGACATCTCCAGGTAGGCCATCCCTTCAGCGACATCCAGACACATCGCCAACATTGTGTCCTGGGATAAACGCCCTTTTTGGGCTCGCAGGTAGTCTGATAGACAGCCATTCTCCATGAACTCCAACACCAAACACATCGGAGAACGCTGGGTGCATACACCATAGAGCTGAACTAGCTTTGAGTGGTATAATCTCCTAATGAAACAGACACAATTGTACATTGGCTCAGTTGATTATTATAAAAGATAATGAATCAAGGTGTTCACTTACATCATGATCCTTGCCTCTTCTTTAAATTCCTCATCCGACATGCAATCTTCTCTTATGATTTTCAGTGCCACCCTCTTCTCCCTCCATTGTCCCCACAGCACCATCCCAAACTGTCCACTGCCTAACTCTTGACCAAAGGTGAGTTCTTCGGGGTCCACCTCCCACTCATCTGTTGAGTATAGAGGTGTAAAGAAAGTGTAGACCACATTCTAATGAAACACATTGCTACACGAGAAAAGTGTCCGCAAAGCAATTTGCTTATTAGATGTGAGCAAATCTGGTTGAAAGGTGAGGATTCCCTGCACTTTATTTTTATTTTTTGCCCCCAAAAATACTGATAAAAGATTTGATCAAATGAAATCTGACAATTTATCTTAAGTTTGTCAGTCATTTTAAACCAAATAAAATCTATAGGGTTCATCATGTTTTCACAGACATCTGTGGACAATCGACCCATTTAGACATTGCACAATTGGCAAGTGATTTAAAATAACAAGCCTCGTCACTTTGCAGATACGGCGTCACATGCAGTCAATGGCCTCTTTGACAACCCGCCCATGCAGTGTCATTCTCTGAACCATAGTTCTCTTTCTCAAGTACTAACCAATCGTACAATTAGGTACGCCCACATGATTCAAGAACATCTGTTTCAAACATCCTGGCCTAAGAAAGATGTAAGTGATTAGATCATTATGGTGGTTGTCATGTGTAGTGGAGAACTGCTCCGCATCATAAAAAGTAATTCAAATATTGTGAGATGTTCAACTATTTCCAGCAGTTAACATTAATGCACTCAGTGGCTTGAATATAAATAATGTATCGAAAATTATTATTCTGTGTGGTATAACGTAGCCTCATAGAATATTCAAAAGCAAAATGTGTATTTAAGTGTAGTCCTTGAGCCAGTGAGCGTTTTCCATACCGCTGCATCAGTGACTACATCACCATGACCCAACTAGAGGCTGCACAGCCATACGGTACCGAATTACCTTTGGATGGACCATCAATTTCCTGGGAGTAGCCGCCTGTTTGAGTGATCGGGTGTCTGAGACGTGTTATCAGACCTTCGAGGTACACACACACACACACACACACACACACCCACACACACACACACACACACCCACACACACACACACACACACCCACACACACACACACACACACCCACACACACACACACACACACCCACACACACACACACACACACCCACACACACACACACACACACGCACACACACACACACTGGTTCTTAGAAAACAATTTGATTTGCTTGAAGGCTTGAAACTGTAGCATTCCCCTTTCTGCATCACTCATTCATTTTAAGACAGTAGCTATTGAAAAATAAAGAGAGCCGCAGATTTACCCGCAGCATTGTGTTGGTGGTAACGGATCAGCTCTGGAATAGTGCGAAACAGATACTTCTCGGCCAAGTAAAAGGAAGACTCTTCTGTTTCTGTCCGCCTGATTTGGTAATGTTTCACACATGGTTGTTTCTCGCCGTTTGATCTATGGGTGAGATGTTGAAGAGATCCGTTGCATGTAGGCAAACAGTATTACAGTGCAACTGTGTCATCATGATGATTAGGCTGATTTACAGTAAAGCTGAAATTACCCCGGCGCTTTGGTGAATACTGACACTGTGTAGACGCCTGTCTGTCTTGAGTTTCGAACCATGAATGCACCTTCTTTTCCCTAAATATTTAACACACACACACACACACACACACAAATTAAAATGATATCTTTCAGGCCTACACAAATTAAAATGATATCATTCAGGCCTATGCAATATTTTGTTGCAAACATTGTGAGTTGGCATTGCCATACCAATCTTTGCCTCACAGTCAGTCTGAAGCAGCAATTAGCAAATGAAAGGTACATTTTCATGCTGCCGAAACTTTACAGCAGGAAATTTATCTCTATGGTTATGAAGGTCTCATGCATTGGCATGTCAAATTCTCACGGTGCAGATTCATTTTGCCCATGCAACACTTGTTGAAGGTATCGGAGCCAAATTTAACCAGAGTTTACAGCAATAACCTGATAATAATTTCCAAAGTATTTATTTATGTGCAGTGATGTGTGACTTTTTTGCCTTCCTTTAGCGTGACCTTGTTTTTCGGTAACGAATAAACTAACGCATTACTATTTCCAGATGGGAAATCAGCTTAAATTTATAGTTGAAAGTTATACATTTGACTGTGCATTACTATTTTTTTTTTAATTTCCTTTAATAAAATGGCACATGCTTGCTTTCTTATGCCAGGTCACGTTTTCAGCCCCAAAAAAAATGGAGGGATATGAGAAGGCTCATCTTATTTCTTAATTTGCACTGTTCTAGGTCCTCATTCCTCTGTTTGCATATTAAAGCCTCCCACCAGAGATCCCAAAAAAGAGACGAGGAGATGGAGCAAGGGTGGAGGAGGTAGACGAAACATGACGATCCTTCTTCAATAACGTCATTTATGATGCTGAATGAGATCACTTTATGAAATTCATATGCACAGCTCTACTCATGTCCACTTCAACTTGTGAAACTATAAAAGCGATCGGCACAATATTTTGGATTTTAATCACATTAAAGGTGAACTCCAGCCAAACAGAGGTGGGGTGGCCATCAGGAATTTGGAGAAAATATGTTAAGCTTCCAGAACGGCCGTTGTATTTCCGAGCTACTGTAGTCCTAGCCATCATGTCCGCTGGCAGTGGCGCTCCAAAGCCAAGAGCTAATGTTTCACTTCTGGACAGCCGAGCCCTCTTTGTTATTTAGTTGCTATTTAGTCTGCTATTTAGTTTGTCGCAACAAAACATTTTAGCATCTATAACAAACCTATCGTGGATGTTTTTTGTCATGCAAGAGAAAGATGGAATAACTGAAGAAAACCCCATGTATGCACAGGGGGAACATGGAAACTCCACACAGTCGAGCCACAGCTGAGAATCGAAACCAGAACCTCTCAAATGTGAGGCAGACATGTGAACCACTCAGGACCATGCCAGGCCAAAATAAATAAATGCAATTGCTGATGCTTTTACCTCTTTGATCAACAAATCCTCTGCTTCCCTTCTGGCAATGTTCTTGTGATACCATCTTTGAGGGGAAACAAATGAGGAAAAACAAGTTCCCATATGTATACAATAAAATACATTAACATAGTCCAAAAACACACGCCTGCAATACAGTAAGCAATTGATATGCACAGACTAAGATGAACAAACAAACATGGATAACCTGCAACACTTGCCGGATTAAAAAGCTAACTTACTCAAATCTCTCAAAGTTGCTCCCTGATATTTCAGCTACGTGTGTCCTTGGGACAAACCCGTCGTTCCTGCGATGACAGGAAAGGAAAGGGTTCTTTTTACAGTTGAAATCATTTTCACCATGAGCTCAATGGCACAATGAGATGGGAATAGTTGTGTTTACCCGCTTTCATCTCGAACATTCCACCAGACGGGATGGGAGCTGTCTGTCAGGGTGTACTCCTTGTCTTTGTGAAGCGCCAATTCTCTGTCTCCAAATGGTGTGTAGTTCTGCAAAGCAATAACCATGCGATGCACTGTGTCGTGCATTTCTACCTAATGAAAAAAAAATGGTGACACAAGGGTATTTAGAGCTTCATTTCGGCCGGGGGCTATCAAAATCATTTTTGTCGCCTGCCACTTTGGAGTTACATCTTCCCTCAGAGTGCCGTTATGATGGCGAAACCACAAAAAATGTTTCATCGTCTTATCGCATGATTCATTGTACACAACGAATTAATGGATGGAGGAGTTTTGAAATCAGTCAACTAGAATAGTTTGTTCAAATATTGTTCAAGTGAGTGGAAAGAGGGTAACAAAATTATTGCAAAATCTCATCGTCAGTCATTACACATGACAGGTTGACATTTCAGTATGGATTTTAGCAAGAATCATGCAGGGTGACAGATATATTTGCTTTCGCGGACAACATAAAATGATATGGCAGGCCGGATCTGGCCCGGGGCCTTAAGTTTGACACCTGTAAAGTCGGTACTCTACAAGTCATGACATAGGTGTTAGATCAATGGAGGTCAACAACCGTTGACAAAAACAAATCAAAGTAGTGAGCAGGTCACCAGTACAAATACAACTCAAGGACCAACGAAAGATGCAAAGATAAAACAAAAGATGAATTTTTGTGTGGTTGTCATGTTTTTTTGCACCGTTCAAAAATATCAAACATCAAAAACAGCATTTGGTATAAACTGAATTTGTGAGAAACGGTTACCTCTGAAACTGGGATGTCAGGAAGTGGTTTTTTAGAAGCTGTGGAAAAATCCAAAACATGACATTTACTTGTTGCATAACAAGTTGTAGGAGGCTTTGCAAACACCAGATGTTTATTAATTAAATGTTAAAACCTTAACAGCATTTAGATGGTTCCAAGGTCGTGGCAAAACTTTGCATTGTAAATTAATTTTAAACTTCAAGTCAGTCATAACAGAACACCTTACAAACTGTATATTAGACCTTAACTCCAGGACAAAAGAAAAGGCTCATACTAACCGTAACCCATTGGATCATATACATGACAGCCCATTGCCAGTTTCCCTGACTGCTGACAGCATTTCCAATTTCCATCCATCCAAAATTGTGGGTGGTATTTTTCGACCAAATTGTTATTCCTTGTCTCTATATCAGTAACCAATAAAAGACACTGAATGAGGTCAATGTGATTTGCATTGCCTAAAAGCCTGAAAATCCGGTTTGAAACTTGCTCACCTTCTTTCAGAGCTTGCACCCACCTCAGACGACAATCATTGTCTGGGGCAAAAATGTAGAGGAAATGGTTGCCGTGAAACACCTGCAGATGTTTGCGTTTGAGAATCGGGTTGGTTTTTCATGAATTCTGCTGTTTAAGTGATGATTTGACAAATGTGAACCTCACCTGGAAGGGGTACTTGTAGTCACACGGAATGGGGAGGTCGGTAAAGACTGCCTCCACACACTTAATACTGCATAACTTGATGGAACCTTTCAGTATTGGCTTTCTCTGAAACAAAAATAGCTTTACGTTCTCTCAAAATACGACTGGAATTGCAGTTAAATGTCGGAAAGCCATCCCAAAAGCTTGGAATGACTCAACTGATCAGAAGTACCATTTCAAAAAAATAGTTACTCCGTATGAATACTTACTCCAGGACGATGCTCAGAATATTTCAATTCCTGTGTGTCCAGCACAAAAAGTCTCCTCTTGTAGTTGCATGGAGATGTTCTTTTTTTTTGCTGCGATTTTTTTATCATGGTACCACTGAGAATCACTCTCGAGGACATGGTAACATCAACAACAATCCACAAACACTGAGTGAGACTGTGTCACCAAAAAAAAAAAAAAAAAAACATGATGTTTCCGGTAGCTGAGTTTAGTAGACCACATCCTGACTCCAACAGATGCAGACTGCACATACCCACATGGACTTCAACTGCATAGAATCATATTCATCACATACAGACACCGTCACTTTCATTGAGTATACTTTAATAAGTCATCATTGCATGATATTCAATTCAAACCTTTTTTTTTTGTGTTCACTCTCACTGAGTTGTCCCGCTTGTGGTTGTGTTGGTGTGTAAAACGTCTTCATTGTCACACTATTTGAAGTAACTGAAATAGGGGCCACCTTGTTCAGGATAAGGGGTGTTGAAAATAGATGGACGAATGGTTAGATGAATGGATGGATGAAATAGGAACACTAACTGAAAAATATGCATAAAATAAACTTATAGTACAGTAGTTTGCAACACAGGTACGCTACGACAACTTCTTTATCAATGCTGTAGTGCCATGATTCTCAGCCATTGTGCTCCCGGATATCATCAGGTGTGCTCTGAAAAAAATGATCCAACTTCACTTCATTCGTCTGGAAATGTTTGCTTACTACAAATTATACCTTTTTATTCATCTATCTATGCCAGTCACCTGTGGTGATAGGCAGAACAATGAAATGCTCTTCCACTAGATGGCAAAAAAGATACAATTAACCTGTGCATTCACATACTGTATTGCCATTCATGTGGCACCACATCGCAATAAACTAAAAAAATGGACCAGTCGGGAATAATAGTTACGCTTTAAAATGTAAACATTGCTAGTTGTGTATGTTACTGCTCAAAAGACAACACGATTGTTGCTTTCATCCTGTGGCTGCCGGCTAGTTATTAGCGACTAAATTGCTCGTGTTTCCGTGGGCAGGCTGTCGAAACTTTGCTCTCATCTTCATGGTTACCGCTTGGGTACTACTTGTTCAAATGATTCAACGGGTTTCTTGTACTGGCTTGTTTTTGACGACATAAAACGTACAACAGCTGCCTCCTCCATGTCGCTCTGGTGATACCGCCAAGGGAGGAACTTCTCTTGTCAATAATAACTTCATCTTCGCAAGTCATGGCCGCCCGCTAGATGCGTTTAGCTGTGCTTTCGGTCAATTTGTTACTCTTACTTTCTGTTTACGGCTTCTTCTTCATTTTTGGGCGGATTCTGTTTATTTCAATTTGCAAACCAATGTTAGAAGGGGTATTCCGATTGGCTAGGGTCGCGCACATTTCCGCCACGTTTATTAATGGAGTAGATTTGCTCGCAATTCGAATACAGTATCTGTCTCTGTGCGGCCTTGTCCCAAATGGGCCATGGCCCGTTTCTAGTCGGCGGACCTGTGGTTGGGGACCACTGCTGTACACCATTCACTCCATAATTTTGTATGGCGTTTTATTTTTGTTTATTATTATTATTATTATTTTTTTTTTTTTAAGGAAGAAACAAACAAAAATTACAATCACGTGTCAACAGCAGGAACCAATGAGGGCTTCGGAACCTAACGAGCAGGCTGGCCAATCCAAACGACGAAACAGAATCACGTGAGTTTCTCAGCCAATGGAATCCGGACACAATCATTCGTCATATCCGCGATAGCGCAAGGTAGCTGAAGTGCTATCTGTTCGATCCTATCGGCTCAATCTCAATCAAAGAGTCATAATTGTTGGACCCGAAGATCTGCCTAGGAGGCAAGTACAGCTATCGTAGATTCATTATTTCTGTCTCCCTGTCTCGTGAGTTATTCTTAGTCGAGAGATAGTTATGCCTAAGCATTGGCGTGAATCTGGTTGCTAAAAGCTAGCTGCGTTTGCGTAACTCGTTACGTTCAAACTGTTTGGCGGTTGGATTTATGATATGAAGCGAAGATAACTTTGCTCGGCGTAACTTGCTTTCCACGCTATGTTGCACTGATGACGATTTGACAGTACCGCTTCTCTGTTAATGACAGCCATTCATGTTGTTTCAGAGCACCATCATGGGTGAACCACAGCAGGTTAGCGCCCTGCCTCCTCCACCTATGCAGTACATCAAAGAGTACACGGACGAAAATGTCAGCAAAGGGTTTGCCCCCAAACCACCACCACCCATCAGAGACAGTTACATGATGTTTGGAAATCAGTTCCAGTGTGACGACCTGATCATTCGGCCTCTGGAAAGCCAAGGCATCGAGCGGCTCCACCCTGTGCAATTTGACCACAAACGTGAGCTCAAGAAGCTTAACATGTCTATCCTGGTGAACTTTCTGGACCTTCTCGACATCCTCATCAAGAGCCCTGACAGTATAAAGCGAGAAGAAAAGCTGGAGGACTTGAAACTTCTGTTTGTTCACATGCACCACCTGATAAATGAGTATAGGCCACATCAGGCCAGGGAGACTTTGCGAGTGATGATGGAGGTTCAGAAACGACAGAGACTAGATACAGCAGAGAGGTTCCAAAAGCACCTGGAGCGGGTTGTGGAGTTGATCCATGGGTGCCTTGCCTCCCTGCCTGATGACTTACCGCAGTTGGAGGGCACTGACAGTGCTGGTGACGGACCACGAACTCTGATTTCCGGGAGCGGTGTCGGGCCTTCTGGCCAGGTTCCAAGGCTGAAAACAGAGCCTATGGATTTGGAGGAAGCAGGAGCAAGCTGCATGGCGGCAGGTCACCAGAGCAAGATCACAGCTACCATAAAAAAGGACAAAATGTGGGACAAAGATGCGGCCATGTGTAGTATCATTGACAAAATTGCGTAGTATTCTCTCACTTTCTATACTGCAGATGTTTTAAGTTTGAGTTGAGTTTATTTAAAAGTGTTGTAACTATTGTTTTATGGCCTCAGGAAAGACAATTATCCATCCATCCTTGCCTTGGCAAATGATCAACCTGTGCAGAACTGAAAATTGAAAGATTTTTTTTTTTAATCTAATAAAGATATTTTCAGCTAAAAGAGCAGTTGTCTGAACAGTCATTATCCCACAGAGTGATATTGTAATGTTTTATGTAGACTGGGCTCATTTGTTCTGCAAAGGATCTTGTCTACAAAAATGGAAAAACCATTGTTTGACCACGGCTAAGAGAGAAGTCAATTCAAAAATTTTCTTGACAGTATTTTCTGTGCGGCTCCACTTGTCTAAACGTGGTATTCTGATTAATATTGTGTATTTGAAGTATGAAGTAAGTGGAAAAGTCCACCCGATTACAGTACTGTTTATCCAGCTCACTTGCTGTCGACTGAAAATTACATCACACTTTTTGATCTGGTTTGCTTTGGGGGTTTTCTCCCTTTTAGTCTCCTCCTCAGATGGTAAAATGCAGGCTCTATTCGACAGCATGAGATTGAACTGGTGTGCCTTAGGCTGGCCACAATTAAAGGCCAGAATGCAACACACCTCTTCAGTATAGAGTTGAGTTTTGTAATTGTGGCATTCATCCTTCCCCTCTTCACTGACTGTGCAAAATTGCTGGATTGTTTTTCCATAGCATCCCAAACATGCCCCATGGGTGATGTGTATGGTGAGTACAGTATTTTGGCCAGACAAGAACTGGGATGTATTCAGCTTCCAGGAACTGTGTAAAGATTTTTGGAACATAGGGCCATGCAATAATATATATATGCTGCACCATGAGGTGATGGTCGTGGATGAATGGCAGAAAAGTGGACCTCAGGTTCTCATCACATATTGCAGAAAATGCCATCAATTAAGTACACCAGTTTTCATTGTCCCATAAACATGGGCCTATACCCTTGGCCAACATGGGACACTTGATTCACAACAGTGATGTCAGCAAATCAGTCATCTGCACGTCATGCACACTCATCTGTGAAGATCAGGGTTTAGCATTGAAAGACAACACCCCTCCAAAGTGCCAGATGCCATTCATTTGCCCACTCAAAACAATCACAACAACATGCAGTCAGGCTGTGACCCTGATGTGGACGATGAGCTTCCCTGAGACCAGTTGAAACCTTGGACAACAGACAGTATCAAGCACAGGTTTGATTGATACTATCAGATGATTATATTACGTGTGTTTGAAATGTGTTTGCAGTGGTGTAGAGTGACACGGCATCGTTTTCAGGAGGGGTTTGTGTGCGTGTGTGTGTGTGCGCGTGCGTGTGGGTGTGTGTGTGTGTGTGTGTGTGTGTGTGTGTGTGTGTGTGTGTGCGTGCGTGCGTGCGTGCGTGCGTGCGTGTTTTACAAAAGAAATGATTCTCTATAACCACACATTATGGCCGTAATACAGGACTGGAAAATGAATCGTTTTATGTTTTTAATTCAGTCAGTGTCAATAAAAATATTTAGAACTGCAGGTTTTCAGCTTGTGTAAGTGTACCTAATGTTGTGTCCTGACAGAGTTATACAGTATTCATACATTAGTAGGTTGTCGATGAGCCGAGTTCCGCTGACATGAAACAACTTAATTGTTTTTGTAATGCTATATTATCGCCCTCTTCAAGCATGACCTTAAAACATACGTGTGATTGAAGTTCACGGCTCACTGTGCTAACAATAGGTCAAACCTATCCGGTAATGAGGTTTTCGTATGGGTCTGTCACCCCGCCCCCTCGCGGATATATTGACTTGGGAATTCCAGCCACTGTGTCGGTCACATTGTATGTATTAGGCAAAAAGGAATTACCTTTGACCAGAACTGACAGTGAACAAGCGACTGTGATCATATTCGTCCCAAGGTGTTTGGCATTGCATAAAATCTTTACCTACGAATCATGTTATGAAACTCGCCGACAGTGGGTTTCACAACAGGGCTGACGGCAAGCTGCTGAGCCAATCAGCAGCTTCGCTGCTACGTCACGTGATCTTTATTTATGTAACGTAGTGGTGTAACACAGTAACCTGGAAATACACCCGTGTGACTAGTATCCAGCAGAAGAGGATAATCCGCGGACCGAACCACCCACGAGAATATCTAACATACTCACTCCTGTTGGGTTTTTTGAAGTCGCTTGTTGCGTTTGGATCGGTGAGAGGAGCGGCTAACTCAAAGGAGCCTGAGTTGTTTTTTTTTCTTTACCTGGTGGCGAAGGAAACGCGTCATGATTGCTAAATGCTGTAATATCATATCCGTGTGGACGATTTGTCTCAGAACGCCTACATTAGGTAAGCAAAGAAAATGTGTGGAGTGGAGATAAACTGTGGCTCAACTTAGACGGACAAATAACGGGTTCAAGTGGGGGCGCGTTCACCTTTGCGGTGTGATTCTTACGGTAAATGACACACAGTCGAGGAGGAAAGTCTTCACGTGTGCTAGGCGTTAAGGAGAACATCAATTGTGATCGCGGGATACTGTGCTGAGTGACACAACACCCCCACCATGGAGCTGTTGGAATGCCGACTCTGCCTCTTCCCGATGTGGGAGCCGGTGACCATTGCCTGCGGTCACACCTTCTGCAGGAGGTGCGCGGGGACCTACCTCCAGTCTAAATGCACGACTTGTAAAGAGAGGTTAAAACAGAGGGAAATGAGAAACGCGAAGAACAATGTTTTGCTCATCCGTGTCATTGAAAAGTGCTGCCCCGAGGATGCAAAGATTAAGTGCCATTTGCAAGAGAAGCTCCGCGCCAAGCAGTACCAAGAAGCTTTACGCGTCGCCAACGACGGCATACAGCAAGGTAAGGCATGTGCAAGAAGCCAGTACAAAACCCTTAACTTTTTGTGTCAGTGTTTGGTTTTTTCCTGTCTTTAATAAGGTTGAGTTGTAGCTCCCATCCACACACCGTATCCTCTCTGCTAGGTGATGACTGAGTCCAAAGGGCTTTGCAGATATATACGCTAAACCAATGTCTTTTGATAGAAACGTACTTGGGACAAGAAACTTGATGCACGATCGATATTAACCTTCCAATTGTGTCACTGTCCCCATAAAAGCCAAATTCAGTAGCTGCGGAAAAGATGCAGTTGTGATTTCTGTGTAAGCAGGACAACAGATTCTGATTTTACAAAATGCAATGTTTTGGTTTTAAATCATCAGAGAACTTTTGTTTTGAAGCCATCTCCGTCATTGTGAGATGTGTCAAATAGTCGAGTTGCAAAATAAATTAACCTGCAGCAGACACGTCCTCCAGAAATATTGGAATGTTGAAGACTTACCTTTCAGCCAACATTTTGGGGGGAAGAAAGTGTATCACAACTTCATGTTCGCAGTCAATGTCTTATGCACCAGTGATGAAGTATGTATCAGCAACTTCCCTCGTTATTTTTGCCTTCTCTTTAGGCCTAAGCATGCCTATGCAGGAACCTTTTTTTTTTGTTAAAGTCTTGTTAAAAGTGTCTTGGCAACAGTAAGTGCTTAATTGGCCCCGTATCGAGCACAGCTTTGGAGTCTTGCGAACATGTAATGCATTTTTTTTCTTTCGTAATCCTGACTTCACTTTCATAAGCAAGAAGGTACTGTTTGCATAATTTCAAACTATGGGTGGAACCCTCACAGTATATTTCGTTAAGTAAAACCCATAAGACTGGTATGGCAGCCCTTTAGTAACAGTACTGCACAATGAGTATTATATAGCTGGGGCAGGTATGCTGGACTTTTTAGATCCGTCATATGTCATCCAGTACATTGTTTGGGATATTAAAGGCAAGTTGTTATATCAGTACAGGATCTCATTGTGGAATCTAAATACAGACTCAAATAGTACTTACAGACCGGTGAATACTTCAGTCTAAAATACCAATTTTAGATTGGTAAAATTGTGGAAATTCACTTTCCTGTTTAAAAAATGTATTTGTAACCTGATAAGAATGTTGCATCATTACATGGCTTTAGTTCTAATCTATACCATCCGCAACTCTTGGCTCAAACCATGTCACTATTACAGGTTCGCACATTACGTTGTATGGCAACAAATTAATACTCGGTATATGTATTTTTCTTACTTTCATTTGTCACTGGTTTCATGTTCAGTCCCAGAAGACCCAAGTCTGAAGCTATACAGAGCTGAAGCAAACTGTGGCCTACTGCGTTTTTCTGATGCTCTGGCGGACCTTGACTACCTCTGCTGTCTTCGGCCTTTGTGGACTGAGGTGAGGTAGATGCAGCAGTAAAATATTGAATCAAAATGTTCATTTGCAGATATGGATGTCACCAGCCTTTGCGAAATCTGATGAAAACCAGTCGAAGAACTAAAAGAAATGCTTTTACAAAGATGTTAATTCTTAGTTTTGATTGACACCATTGGAGAGTTACAGCATTAGTCTGACAATAGGTTAATTGTTGTGTTTGTGGTTCACAGTGGTGTAGAACTGATCTGCATCACCCTGAGGTATGGCCCTCTCATGTAGATAAATATTTAGGTAGCCAAAATATTCAAATAAAAATAACCTTTCAGTAGTGCAGTTGCAAAAATTATCACTCTTAATAATCACGTACATTTAAGGAAAAATGCATACACGGTGGTGCCTTGACATATGAGTGACTCAACTCACAAGGTTTTTGAAGATACAAGATTTTTGACCAAATTTTTTTTTTTTGGCGCAGATTTGAGTTTTGAGTGCTGTCGTGCAGCAGTGAACTCAACTCACTTCACAATAAGTAGTGCAGTACTTTGGAAAATAGGGGACTATTCTTTAAAAAAAAAGGCTTCAAGTTGTTTATTGTCACTTGCGGTTTAAATTTATTGTCAGACTCGGCAAAAAACAAAAAGAATTACCCCATGTCTCTTCAAAGCTACCACATAACATAACCTTTCAGGCAGCTAGCTAAATGCTAACGCCAAATAGCAATGATATTGTGGTGCTTTAACCCTTTAAGGATTGGACTGATCACAAAAAGTATCGCAATTCATGAAGACAGACATTATAACAGTAGCTACTCGCAATTGTATATTCTTCATCCTCTGTAAAGAATAACTCATGAGTGCTGCACTGATGAGCGGAATGAACAGTACAGTATATCTATCTATTTGTCGAAACTTGAACTTGTATCTCAAAGCACCAATGTACTATTATGAAAACTTTCATCATTATCCTTGTAAAGGCATCCAAATTGATATATTGTAGCTCATGCTTTGGATTTCACTGGATTTTGCAGATATGTTCCAAATGTTGTGGTCAATGCGTGTTTGTTCACTCTGAAAGTCTCGTTTATTTACAGTGACTCCAGTTGCTCTAGCCACATTTTTCTTATGATATTGTTATTTGCTTATGTCACGGGCTAACAGGATGCAAGCAGCTACTTGTACCACATCATGTGGGGAGAATTGTTTTGTGTCATCGCTTTTTTTTTTCTTCTTCGATCATCCTACATTATTATGTAATTTCCTTACTGTCACATGCCAAGCTATTTAGCATCAACCACCGCAGTAAGAACCTGTAATACAGTATTCTACTTAATATAGGCAGTGGTCCGCTGATCATGATCCTCTGTGTACACAGGGCTTCTTTCGGAAAGGGAACATCCTGTTGGAAATGGCTCAACAGACCGAATCCCTCATCCAATTTCACCATTGCCTCAAACTTCAAGCTGACTTTATTCCTGCTAAGAATCAGATCAAGAAGGTTGTTCACACCACCCCTGACTGTATACTGTAAAGTAGAACAAACAAATGAACATGTGCTTTGCCAAAGGGTAACTCACAATGCACACAATGTTGAACACTTCAGATTTAAATGACTAAATGCATCTATTTGAGTAGTATTTCTGTCCAAATTTCAGTAATTTAGCTGAAAGACATTCAGTCAATTAAGTGTTGAGCCGACATCCTTCCACCTCCTGGCTTGTAGACAGGACCGTACACAAACATTAGTTATTTGCAGTTGTACGCAATGTTGTGAACCATTGATATTTTGTATTTTATCATTAGCTCTTTTTTGTATTGTCCTGTTCCAAAATTGAAAGGTATTTCGGTTAAAATTACAGATCCTGGAGGCAGAGGGCATCTCAGTGCCAGAGGAAGTCCCCTGCATTATGCGAGTGTTGGCTGATTACTTGAAGGCATCCTACTCCATGACAAGCCTCAGTGGCACCCAGGTAACACACCCTGAGGGCCTCAAATACCCACATGGCGATGCAGAGGGCAAGGAGAGGAGAGACGCATACCGGGTGCGGTCTCCAGACGGGGTGAGGAGAAGAACGCTTGCATGGTGGGAGGTGTTCGCTTCAAATCTTGAAGTTGTAAAACGGTATTTCTTTAGAGCTCCAAAGTGAATCACGACACCAACACCGAGTGCTGCCTCGGCCTCTGCCAAGCTGTCTCCTTCCTGCCTGCCAGTGAAGACGATGAGAAGAGAATGGCAAGAAAGGAGGATGTGAAGGGCACAGGTACTGTGACAAACTGCAATCACCACAGATGTTTTCATTTGACATGTTCATCACAAATCATTGTTTTCTCTTACAACACGTACGGCATTCAGATATGGTATATTTTTGTTCAAAATTGCCGATCTATAATTCAAGTTTCTTAACGCATTAACTTGCTTTTATCTCAGGTGCCAGTTTACACTGCAGAGAAAAAACTCTGAGTGTACTCACTGTGTCAGACTTCGAGTGCCCTCTCTGCATCAGGTAGGCTTCCTGTTCTCTTAAAGCAATTTTAGTCTCCCTGGTTGTTGATCGAGTTGATCATATGTCATATGGATCATTCTGTGTCATTTCATCATATTAATGTAATCATTGTAATGTCCTGTAAAAATTTCAATGAAAAGACCAAAATGTTCGGTCTCTATTATCTCATGAGACATCATTGATTGTAGGGTCAGTTTTAGATGGATTTTGAAATCAGACTCTGAAAATCCGTTTTTAAACAGCAATAACTGGAAAGCGATCTTGTGTGTCACATCCAAAATTTCTACAGTCGGTATTTGTTACGAATAACCTCAAAATTTGTCAGGCGAGGGGCTCAGTTATAACCTAGTATTGTAGGTACTTAAACTTCTCCCCAAATGTGGCTTCTCAAAATGAAATAGCAAATTTGAAAAGTTGTTAAGCTTTCATTTTTGCACAATGAAGACTTCTGTCACTTTTGCCTGTGTGTCTGGTGGTAAATTAAACAGTCTCCAAAATATGATCTCCAAATCTGTAGTCTCATTAATTTGGCAGTCACTTTACAAGTTCTCGATTGAACATCTTTGTTTTGCTCATCTATTTTGACGGCAACTTCAAACCTTGCAATTAAATGCTGGTTGGGAACATCGCACAGGTTTTCTCGGCAATTATCTCTTAGCTGGCAGCAAATGATTTCACCCCAGCAGATGCAATGAGAAGCTTCTCATGTTTCAAATGGCCAATGAGCAGAAAGATTCAACTCTGTAGAAATACAAGTCTTGGAAGTCTTTTTGAATTGCCCTGCTGTGACGTTTACTGGTAGGCATGGACATGTAGTGCCACAAATAGCCACAAAGCCCCCAACAACATCAGGATTAAAAGAAAAAAAATCACTGATGAGTCTCAATATCTGTGAAATAAATCATCCAAGTGAAACCATATTTTGGCGAATGTTGAAGCTGACACCAGAGATAGCGGTAGAAGTGATTGAAGTCTTCGATCTGCAAAACTCGGAGATCAGCCACTCTTAAAATATGCAACTTTGGTGGAACTTTAAGTACACTAGCTTGTACTTGAGCTACACCTCTGACATTCCATGTCTGGAGAACTAATAAGTTGGACTTTTCCAATCAACAAGTGTATCTTGGTGCTTTTTTCCCCACGAAACTGTGATGGTCATGTGGGAAGATTTTTAGAAATTTGATGAAATGACACAGAATGACCCATTTTTCTCTCAAACATTGCTTCTCAGTTATTTTCTGTTACGTCCTCGAAGGAAGAAAAAACAAACATTTTGCTCCCCAGCTCTTCGCTGTGACTATACTTAGGCTCATTTGGCTATAACATTGCTAAACATACACCTGACCTCTGCATAACATTGAATGCTTATTAACATTAAAGAATACAAAAAAGAGAGAACTATAGATCAATTTAGAACAAATAATAACTTGATGAACATTGTTTTTTTTTTTCGTGTGTACAAACTGAATTTGAAGTGCTTGAATTTGCCTCTGAAATGCAAACAAAAATGAAAAGTGCCACTGCCACATAGTTTGATTGATGTACAATTCTACTTTATTCTAGTGTGGCAAAAAAAAAAAAAAAAAATGGTTCCTGAGGTCCCACATGCCACCGCTGTCATCGCACCTTGCCCACCCTTATAATTGAGAAGGTCACATTATGCCAGGAGGGTCCAAATGGACATCATGGTAAAACCGTATTATTGGTACATGGACTTTTTAAAATTAAGGTTATTAAAAATTTTTTTTTTTTTTTGGGGGAGAAAAAAAAAAAAAAAAAAAAAAAAAAGCATGTTCCCTGGATGAATGGATGTTTTGATTATTTCATGTATTTCATAAATTTTAAAGGTTGTTTCACGAGCCAGTTACCACTCCATGTGGTCACACTTTCTGTAAAAACTGTATCGAGAGGAGCCTGGACCACAACCTCCGCTGTCCGCTCTGCAAGCAGCCGTTACAAGAGGTAACCAAAGTGTCCTGTATGTCGATACTTTATTATTTTATTTGACTTTATTTCTATTTATTGGACAGCACATCAGACCTAAACCTCCTTTTTCCTTCTTTGTTTATTTGCAGTACTTGAAGAATAGGAAGTACAATATCACAGTTGTGGTTCTGGATATCATGGCCTGCCTTTTCCCCTCACAGCTGGCCGAACGGAAACAAATACATGAGGCAGAGATGGCAGAACTGTCAAAGTAGGCGCCATGAAATGAAAACTCATACAATCTGTGTTCTGAATTGATGGCAAAGGCCATTGCAATTCCCACACCCCCTCCTCTTGTGATGTCATCATGTTATTTTTTTGCCCGTCTCTTTATCTGTCCTCTCCACTGCAGCCTCACTAAGGACATCCCTATATTTGTTTGCACTGTGGCCTACCCTGGGGTGCCGTGTCCTTTGCACATCTTCGAGCCTCGATACCGACTGATGATGCGTCGCTGTATGGAGACAGGAACGAAAAAGTTTGGCATGTGCAGCTACGAACATGGCAAAGGGTATGCCAAAACGCACGTGTTCTGTCAGTGTTGTAACCATAACATTCAACAGCAATTTTTATTCTACTTTTTCCTCACACTAAAGCACAACTGTTGGAGATCGAGGCTAAATTGATGCCTGGCAGTGATATGCAAGCAGACATCATAGTTCAACCAGTCATGTGTGACCCTGTGGGGGAGGAAAATAACAGCAGGCTAACCAGTCTGCTCGCTGAGAGATCTTCCATGCTTTCACATTCACCACAAATATTCCCTTAGTTTCATTTTGCTCCAACAAAAGGAATAGGAATCGTAATCTGAATTATAAACCAGTTAGAATTCAATATATGTGTGTGTGTGTGTGTGTGTGTGTGTGTGTGCATATATATA